ACCAGCACTCAACGGAGCGAAGCACCGCGACCATTACAGATCTTTTGTGCCGCAACAGACCCTAACCGAACAGAAGACATTCCGCCTTTCGAATGAAAACCAGAATGTCAGCCGTTTAGGACCGCCTAATGCCAGAAAGTGAGAGTAGTTCTCGACCCAGTGACCTCCTCCTGATTAAATTAGGGTTATGATCTTAAATCAAGAGATATTATTAGGGTTATCCGTAGTGCTACTTGTCCAGATTAACTTTGGAGACTATCCAAGCGGATGACGCAATAATGTTCTAGGGCGCGAAATTTTTCCAATTTTTCCGTTAATAATTATAGTATATCAGTCTATATTTAAATCTACGGGTTCATATGACATATAAACGAAATGTATTTTATATCATTTACCAAAGTTATTAAGCCAAACAATGGCAATATCTTCAGTTTTCAATAAAATGGGTATAACTCACCGGTATAACTTATACTCCTTACTTACATATATAATACGAATATACATAGTTCAGCAAAAGTCACTAACTTAAAGCGATGGCAATAGTTCAGTGGGCACAAGGCAAAAAACTTGACACTAAAACATGAAGTTGGCATTCTACGCCGAGTAAATCAGATGATTTTTGGCGAAAATATATTAAAAAATTAATATGTAGAGTTCTTAGTTACCATATTGTGCGAGGATCATTTGCACGCCACTGCCTAAGTACATTCTGCAATTGAGGTATCGCATACTGAAGGGAGTGAGATTTTGTTTTTATTATCCAGCAACCAAATTGCCTACATATTAGGTGCACTACATATTAAGTGGATGAAGGTATTAAAAACTTTCAAAACTACCTGGCACATGGTTTTACATACTCTTATGGATCTTGCATTCAGGCACAGACTCTGCTATCCTTTATGCCTAAATAGATCAGTAATGTAAAGCATTTAATCCTGTGTTTATCAGAAAATATTATCAATTGTGTGAATGTTAATGCTATTAGCTATTAGCTTGTGTTGAGCTCCTTACCCTTAAGCCGTGGCTTCTGAAATGCAATCGGATCTTCATTGCATTTCTTTGGGTAAGGTGAGTGTAAATATCAGCTGATTACATTTAATGGTAACACAGTTACGAGGGATGCAAGTATGCCTTAATCCAAAAATAAAAAATACTCTGCCATTTGTCTTAGGTATATATGTATAGTTTTAAAACTCTTCTTCAAAAATCAGTGGTGTAGTTAGGATTTCATCAAGTGAGCCATTGACTTAAAACATGGGTTCGCAGGCCTTCATCAGCGCCTTCAGATTTTGTGAGTGACGAAGTTGTGATTTTATTTTTTACAACGAGAATAAATGAAATTTTTTTGATGATAACTAATTAATACGTATATTAATAATTAGTTCATTTTTATACCACATATAATCGCTTAATCCGTTAGGTTCAGTTAGGTTAACCTGACTGGTCGTATGTCGCACATACATTTAGTGATTCTTAAAAAACACCAGGTGCAACTAAATGTATTGTAAATTTTTAAAGGGTAGCATGTAGAATGCTAACGTTTTCTACAAAAAAAAAAGAAAGTGCCATGCTCCATTCCTGAGCATGGAGAATGCTCTTTCATCTTTCCAAACAGTGGAGACTCCTATAGGTATTGAACTCATATTTTCTTAACTTTTAGCTTAAGAGATCTGTGCCTTTATACTTGAAATGTAGAACCTTTGACTTGGTACATAGAAGTTAATCGGAAGTAAATAGTTTATTATTTGTCCTAAAGAGCCACAGGAATGTAGGACGGCATGGAATCAAACGCGAACAATAGAAGACATTGGAGCTACTGCTGTGTCTATATCTACACTTGTCCAGAAGCAGAATTAAGCTATTGAGCTCCCTAGTTTTTAACATATTTGGCGGTATTTTCAACATTAGTATTGGCCAGACATTTGTAATTATCTTTTTTTTCGTTTTTTACAGTAGGTGAAAAGCTACCGTTGGAAACTTGAACCCACTAAACCACCTCTTAGAAATGAGTGGAGAATTATCAATGTTCACGAGTGGTTCTAATATGCTTATTCTTTTACCAATAATTACGTGAAATGATGAGTTAAGATGAATTTCGTAGCCAAATGAGGAGGACTTGTTCCTCCTACTATTTCGCCTATCTACCAACTATAATTTATAAATTTTGAACTAACGTATATGTGTTTGTTATTTATATAATTGTAAATTAAAGATTATTATTTCTAAAGACACATATTTTTTAAACACGCTCACAACTAAGCTCAGTTTCTGTAAACAAGTCTTCAACTTAATAAATTCATCCAGTCTGACATTAAGTACAAATTAATGCACCAAAGTTAATCCTGAAAAGGCAAGCTTGTGTGTCCAAGGTCTTTAACAATGAACTTGATTGATTCATATGAGCACTATATGCGTTAAGTCATCTATTTAATCGACTGCAACTGCTTGGACCTATTAAATGCACGTTCTCAAAAATTCGTATACCGATATGTCCGCTATGTATACCGATATTCATATACCGATAGGTATTTACCAAAACAATTTGCATATTGACAGACAGATACATAGGCACGAACTCAGTTGTATATAAACAGATATATCCAATTAACATAAGTTAATATATCCATCCAATTATTAAAAAATTAGTTCTACATATCCAAGTTCTTATTTCAAGGCTATCATATCCTCTCTCAAAACTATAACACAATTTTTTAATAAAATTGTATATCTGATGCATTATATTTTCGTTTTTTACCTCTGTTAGGTCACGTTTAAAAACGAGTCTGTGGCAGACTTCATTCGGACCAGTTGTGTGTCCCTTGCATAACCCTCTCTACTTTCATAAATTGTTCATCAATATTCTACATCCCTTCCTCATCTTGAACAACATTTCTTTAAAAATTGTCAACACTATCTTCGCCTTAGCTAATATACATTTTTCACTTCATCTAATAATTAATCAGAGATACATTTTTACCGTCGTCATCTTATCACTATGCTCTCCCTGGTGAGCTGATCTTTAAAAATCAGTTAATCATTTTGTCAATATTTTCAACTTGTTCAACACTTTTTCAAAATTTTATCTTTATGTCATCAATTTACCGCTATTCTCTGTCTTAAATACATGTTCTCCAGAGATGCATTTTTTGTCATCATCATCTGACCAATAGTCCTTTCTTGGTAAGTTTATATTTAAAAATTATTTTTCTTCATTATAATTATCTAATCACTATTTGTTTTTAGGTCAATACCTTGGCTAACACTATTTCAAAAATTTATTTTATACTTTATCCTCTTATCATCATTTCTTTCCTTGACCAATACTTCCTTAGACATTTTTTTGCTATCATCATCTGGTTAACTCATATTCATAAATTAATTTTCTTCATCATCAACTTAGTCAATACTTCTTTAAGATTATATTTTTTCTTTAATCAATTTAGCGCTATTCTCTTTCTTGATTCCTTGATTACTAAAGAGATGCATTTTTTTGCCATCATCATCTGACTCAATTCCCCCATTTGGCTAATACTATTTTAAAGTGCTATTTATACTGTCATCACATTTCCGTGAAAGCCCCCCTGACCAAGGCTTGTTCAAAATATTCGTTTCTAAAATCCATAGCCACTTTCCTTTTGCAAAGGCCTGGTCACCTCACTGGTTTCACTGCACGCTGCTTCCTATAAGCAGTTAATAATAATAAAAAAGACTGCGTAGGCGGCGGATGACTGACTTCTCTACTATGAACGTATGATTTTCGATTAAAAACAGAGTTGCGACTCCTCAGGGAGATAAGCTGCTAAACACCTAACTAAATTATGTAGTTCACTTTGACATTCAAACTACATTCAAAGTAAATTCTCCTAATCGTTTTCGTTTTTCGGTTTCAAACTAAAGTGATGGTTCACACTGTCAATAGGCACTACGCTACGTATATAAGAAAGGAGTATGGTGTTTGCTTCTTTATTGAATAAAATAGACACTAATTTTATTATCAATGCTGTCAATACCCAAGTTAGATACAGCAGATTACAGTGTTTTTATTATGTTCGGAGCATTAAAGTTTTCGTCGCATCAATTTCAGAAGATGTTCGATGAGATGATAAAAGAAATTTGCCGCCCATACAATCAGCAGGAGCGAAGTCACAGCTGAGTGCACTCAACACAAGCAGCAAATGCCACTAATAAAGATATCAGAACGACTGAATCCAGTAACATGAACAACGCCCTCGCACATCTTCAATACTTCAATAACTCAATGCGATCTACCTCTACTTCTGCTTCAGTTTCAGTTTCAGCTTCAGCTTCTGCTTCTGCTTCTGCTTCGGTTTCGGCTTCGGCATTTGTGTTTTTTTTAGTAAATGAGTAAATCAGTAAATGCCTTTCTTCTTCTTGGGGATTAGGAATCTGTTTATACAAGTATTTATGATAATGTAAAAACTGAAAAACTGAAAAACTGAATTACAAAAGTCAAACATTTGAAGCAAAGCAAGTAGCACCGCACTGTACCGCACCGCGCTGCATCATCCGATCGCATACAGTTTGAGGATCGTATACACAGTTTCGGATCTGGCATCTTCTCGCTCCTTCGTCAAAGCATTTGGCTTGGTTTTTTTCTTCCATTTATTTCAGGTAGAAAACCTGTGAAATGAGCTGTTGCGCCTGTGGCGGTTTTCCTTTGAATACAAATCTAATGAAAATGTTACCCAATCTCACAGCTGGATATGTCACTGGATACGATTAAGTAAAATGAACAACAAAAGTGCTATATATATGTTTCCATCATACATTTATTAACAAAATTTCAATCCATTCTTATGTTCAACACAACACAAAATATGACAATAGGTCTGTAGGACAGACAATAAACTACTATTACAATCTGTCAACTAGCATATAAACGTATAGATACATATTTATGGAACTTTAATAATGGCAATTTAAGTAATTAGAAAAAAGAATATTAACATACATACAATATATACATACATAGATTCTTGGACAAATATGTTACATATCATATCAAATAAGTATTAAATAATTTTCAATCAATCAATCAAATAATGATATCAAAACGATGACATCTAATTGACACATCAACAATTTATGGTTAGTACAAATCGTCTTTAACTGGGTTCTGTCTCTCTCTCTGTCTCGCCAGTAGTCTATCATTAACTATAGTGCAACCTTAACATTTTCTCTTTGTTTTTGATATCTATTTATTCTTTTGTACTCTTTTTCTTGTGCCGATATAGTAGCTGAGCTATATATGCCAAGTGAAGAGATCATATAGAATGTTGCCTTTCCACCAGATCTTTTTATTATCCCATCTGCTACTCAAGTATTTAAACTTTCCTGAACTCCTTCACTTTGCGAGGGCATTGAGTAGTCAACTTTATTTTTGGATTTTCTAACTTTCTTTGGATCTTTTGATCTTTGGATTTTCCTATCTGCCACTGAAGTGTTCAAACTGTGTTCAACTCTTTCTGTTTTATAGCTGAGAAAAATATTTAGATCTTTGGATTTTCCTAACTACTCAAGTGTTTAAACTGTCTCGACCTCTTTCGGTATTGTTGCTGAAGAACATCTTCACTTGGCGTAGGCGGTGAGCAGTCATCTTTATTGTTGGATTTTCAATCCTAAAGTATTAATTCCTTGTCAGCTTAGCTAAGTGGAAATTTTTCAAAAAATTGCACGGCATGATGTAATAGTCCACTGGGCATTGCTACATCTTGGAAAGGTGTGGACATACTCGTATTGAGCTGCAAGTAAGGAGCACTTTGCATATTTGGATATGTAGCTGGAAATGCTGGAGTCAACCTCTGATAGAGTGCGGCCACTGTTGCTGCTCTCACATAATCATTGCCAAGTGTTCGATTATTCAGGAAAGGACTAGCACCAGGTGTGCAGTAACTATTTAAGATAGGTGTAAACATAGCTTGTCTATATGCGGCTATACGAGAACGGGTGGCACTGGGATTTTTTCTACGCAATTTTCCAGTTGTCTCGCCAATGAACACTTCTTCTGCACTTGGATCGAGAATCCAATAGTTACCCTTGCCTGGATCATCGAAGCTGCGTGGTATTTTCGTGAAACATTTATTGAGGCTTAGATTATGTCTTATGGAATTTTGCCAACCACGTTTATTTAATTTAAAATAAGGAAATCTCTTTATCAAATACTGATAAATACCATTCAATGTAAGACGTTGTTCTGGACTAGCTTGTATAGCCATCATTATTAGCGCATTATAACTGTATGGTGGCTTCTTTTCATCACTTTCGGACATCGGCTTGCTGCCATCATTGTCTGTGGAGTCATCATGATAGTCGTCAAACTTTTCGGAAGTTATAGATTCGGTTGCAGTACTTATTGGTGTACTAGTTCTTGAATTTTGGTTTTCGAAATCTTCCGAACCGGAAAGTTCCCCATCAGATGAACACATATCCGTAAGAACTGGGTCATTTATGGGCGCAATTTTACAATTCACAGTTTTCGATTTGTTCGAGAGTATAGATTCAATGGAAAAATTACTCTTGAATTCCATTTCACTTATATTCTTAACCATTTTTACTGTTTATTTTTTGTGTTATTGTCAATATTGAAATGTTGTAACTATTTTAATTAAAAGCAAATAACTTTACGTCGTATTATTTATTTATTAATTTTCTTTATTAAATTCAAACAAATATTTCAAATAAGTAAACGCACTCAACGCAACCTTATGTACTCAAGATTCAGTAGATACTAAAGTATAAATGTTCCTCAACAACTATTTATACCTTTTATTTGTGTGCCTTAAGTGTGGAAGCTCCGCCTTTTTCCATTAATTTGGTTTGGAAATAAAATCCACACAACTGAAACGTGCTACCGTTGGCCCATCGTTAATGTGTGTCGACTTAGAGTTGAGTGGAGAGTTGAGCGTCGACAAATACTAATGGTTGAATGGTTGAATATCGTTTACTGTTTGCGTTCATTGTTGTTGTTGTTGGTGCTGTTGTTATTATTAACAACACAATTCAATGCTTTTGTTTTTTGTTTTTTTTTTTTTTGCTTCTTCTTCTTCTTGTAATCAATAAAAACAAAAGCATTGTTGTTGTTGCATTTCGTTTGGTGTTTTGTTTATGTTGAAAATTGTTTGCGTTTATCAACAAAATATCTATTACAGAACACGGTTAGCACACAACACAAATAGTAGCAGTGAGTAATGTCTGCTGGCATTTCTAGTTCGCTGCGCTTGTTGTTGTTGCTCTGCCTCTTCTTGTTTTGTTGTTGTTGTTTCGCCTTTTTTTGCTGTATATTACAAAAAAAAAAAAAAGAAATTTAGTATTTGTAAGGCGCACATAAAGGCGAGGCGGCTAGTGACAACCACAAATATATCTATGTAAACGTTTCTCAACTTCATTCTTATTTGTCAACATCGTTCTGTGGCAACTGGCAAATGAAGATGGAAGATGGAAGATGGAAGATACCCCAACGTCATGCCCCAATAGCACGTAATTATCACAAATAATAACAACACCAAAACAGAATTATTTTATTATGACAAATATGTGAAGCTTTCATGAAATGATTTTAAATATAATCATCGTATAAATATGTTTATATGTGCAGTGCAAGAAGTATCGGGAATTAAGGATTTCAATGATATATGTACATAAGAGACATATGAGAAAACAAATCTTAGTAAAAAAGAAAGTTACTTGTTTGAACCCAGTGACGTATAACGTACTCAGGGCTCTGTTATTTATTGTCTGTTCTATTAAAGAACCATTACAAACCGTTACCGGATTTCAATCTGAAACAGCATGTCTCTCTAGGCAGCGCTACTGCATGCAAGCCTTCTCTAGTTTCGCATATCAATCCGAGTAGTGCGGTAAATGCTTCGTTCAACTACTGCTTCAAATACCTTTTTCGCTGGAGCATCATCATCCATTCTCATGACATTATCGCGCCAGCAAAGCAGCTGGTTGTTGATTCGTTGAATTACACTAATGCTGTGATAATGCTCATACAACTCGTGATTCATTCGGATAAGGTAGTCATCGCCAACTTGTAAAGTACCTCTCTTCTCTCACACTGTTACTGGTCCCAGTCTCTCAGCGCCTCCCAAATGAACCGAATGTTATTAAAATACGGGTGTTGAGAATAAATGAATAAAAAGATAGTTATTGTGGGGGGATGTTTGGAATAATAGATTCTAACCAAAAAACTGCAACATTAGTGTATGTGTCAAGACATATAATGTAATTAAGAGTCTCCATTCTGGAGACCACCCCCGCAAATGAATCAATTATCACATCGCAGTATAAAATTCTAAATGAAATGTAGGTAGATAAAGTGGAGGGGAATCCGATGCCTCCCAAATTAGCTAATAAATATGTTTTGATTCCACATTCCTTCTTATTGGAGATAGAAGGAAGGGTGTATAGCAGAGTGTGTTAAAGAATGTAACGCTCGATAGCTTAAGACTGGACATAAACATAGAAGTTGCTCTGATGCTTTTTTTTCTTCGAGCACCGATAGCCATGCTCTACAGGACTCCCGCCAGGGCAGAGTGAACTTGACATCAAGCCGTCCTATTATGACAGATATTGCACTAGTTACTTTCAATTGATTTTTATGTACCAAGTAGAAAGTTCTACGTTCGGAATATATATGAGTCAAATTTTTATTTGCCTATCGCAAAAAATGGTCTTATAACAATTTCCGTCTGTAGCTGGCAGGAGCAGGGATTGAAATAGGAGTTTCTATGGAAGAAAATGAAATTTCACTCGATTCGATTACACCTATAATATTCTGTCTGAAATTCTGTTTCGATTATTAAATTGTTTTTAAGATCTACAATCGATTTCGATTAAAGTACTTTATATGCCACAGTCATAACAAATTTTAGTAATAAAGTTTTCCAGGATCCTCTTCCTAAACGAAAGAGAAGAAATTGCTCTTTCTCAAGTCGCAAAACGGTTTTCATTCATAACCATCAAAACTTTTTCGTCTTCAAAATATACTACTTTTTGTTATGTTTTTCTAGGAGATCATTTTTGTTCCCGACAAGAAAAAATGTAATAGTTTATAAAGATTCGAAAATCAGAATTCTTCTTTAAACTTTAGAATTACGAATTATCTATCTTAAATGTAGACAGAGCAACAAAATATTCTGAATATGTAATCGAAACTTTTATAACCAAATATCATTCAAGAAGGGATTATTTCTATTTAAACCAGAACTACCATATAAAAAACTACTACATTTTCTTTTATAACTTCTTGACAGTTAATATCAGTGCTATAGATCTGTGCTTTTGGAATACCTACATTAAGACCGAAAAGTTTTCGGAAATTCTCATTTAAAATTCGCGCGCTGTATATTTTTCGATATTTTAAGTTTATGTAGTTTGGCAGCACTGTCCTTAATTACTATGCCAAAAATGAGCGCGATCTGTCAGACAGTTCGTTTACGGCAGCTGTTGAAACCAGTTCACCTCAGTAGGGCGTTGCGAAAAAAACAATGGAAAAAAATATTGAACAAAGAGTTTGCATCAAATTTTGTGTTTCGAACGAAATTTCGTGTGCAGAATCGTTGCGAATGCTACAAAAGGCTTATGGGGAATCAGTTTTATCGAAAACTCAAGTTTATGAGTGGTACAAAGCCTTCCAGGACGGTCGTACGACCGTCGAAGACATTTCGCAACGCACTACTGAGGTGAACTGGTTTCAACAGCTGCCGTAAACGAACTGTCTGACAGATCGAGCTCATTTTTGGCATAGTAATTAAGGACAGTGCTGCCAAACTACATAAACTTAAAATATCGAAAAATATACAGCGCGCGAATTTTAAATGAGAATTTCCGAAAACTTTTCAGTCTTAATGTATATATCAATCTTATTCTTTCTTTCTTTCACGTTTCGAATTTAGTTGAGCTACTCAACTCTATTCTATTGGCTATAACGACATTAAACGAAATGCCCGGTACTGCTTTTCTACTAAAAATCGTCACTAAATTTTGATAGACCTTTTTTCTCTTAAGAAAAAAATGTGTTTTATTAATACTATGTCTTTTTATAAAACTATAAAATGAAAAACTATATGAAAGCTATATGAAACTATATGAATTCAAAACGGGAACTGGGGTACTAAAGAAACACGTATACATAATTTCGTTATTAAAATATAAACAATTTTTATAGATAAAATTATACATATTTATTACGTTTGTAAATTTTATTAAGTGAGAATTTTAAATGATTATAAAGCACTAAATCATTTAAACTGGTGACTCCAACTTAATTTTTAATATTCTCTAGAAGTAGACAAATTGTCCGAAAATACAGAATTGTTTATTCCGTACGATGCTTTCATAGATAATTCAATTATCCAATTATTATACACTCAAGTATCAAATAAATCTGAAAAACTATAAAGGTACTTAAACTACTATATTTACAGTAGTTTACAGTACTCATGTAGAATAAATCAATCTTATTTCTTGACTATGTTCCAAACTAAAACTGAACTATTGAATTTTTTTACTGTTGACAATAACGTCACCGTGAATCAAAACGAATAAGTAATATACTCTACAAACAAAAATGTTATTGGAACTTATAGACTTATATACTTTTTTCCATACAATATTTTCGAAAATAATCCATTTATCCATATATAATAACCAATTATCATTCAGGAAGGGTTCGTTTCTATTCTCACCAAAAAAACTATAAAGGTGATTAAATTACTACATATAATTTTTTTTCACAAATTTTTCAATCTTTATATCTATAACGCTTTCTAAAATACCTTTAAGGTCATCTTAGTTTTTGAATATGCTCCAAACCTCATTGAACTATTGACCTATAGAATTCTTGTACATAGGTAGATAATAAAATTCTTATAATCAATTATCTTTTAATAAGAATTTACTTTTCTTTTTACAGTTGACAATGGCGTCATCGTGGAACAAACTCAATGATAATCTTTAGAAGATGGTATCTATATATCTTAGATGGTATCTATATATTGTTTTTAACTCGTTCACTCTAAACTTTTCGTTGATCAGATTTGACTAGTCGCTATATGAGATAACTATGTGTATTGTTAAAATATCTTAATGAAAAAATTTATAATTATAGATTTTTTTCAAGGAATATTTTTTTTGTAGAGTTTCATTCTCCTGAAGATATTTTAATTTCTAGTCTATGCCTCTTCATTGAAATAATTGTTTATATTCGATCAGAGATATATAGACTTTTTTACCACACCAAACTTATAGCAATAATAGAATAAATTTCAGATTTTGTAAGGAACAGAAGTGATTTATTTGAGCATATTGAGATATAGCTATCACGAGTATAGAATCTATAGACTTTACTTAAACTCTAATAATCAGTATGATAGTCAGATATGTCGATTATTTATGTTTTCATATGTTTTGTTTGAGAGGATTAACCTTTAAACTATTTTTTTACTAATAGAGATGGCTGTACTAGTCCAATAGTAACAATTAATAATGAAACTGATAGGAATAACAAGAACAGTTTCAGATTCTACCACGCAGAGAGCTGACATATATCAACCTATTGAACTACAACCATCATACATAAGAAATCATACATAAGACGTATTCATAGTTTATGTATTCATAGACGTATACACGATTTTTACTCTTAAGATGTTCAGACCTGTCGTATATCTATATTTTAATATATTTTTTTTTCTTAGGAGAATAATCTTTAATTAGTT